AGAGAGAGAGAGAGAGAGAGAGAGAGAGAGAGAGAGAGAGAGAGAGAGAGGTGGTCCCGTGAGTGGTGAGTTATTGCTTTGCTATTGAAGGCCGGCATTGCTGTGCCTGGTGCGGTCTCTTCGTTGTGGCTGATTGACATTAGTTTGGAGAGAGCTAGTGTGTACTGGGGCGGTCTGTGTGAGAAGCTTCGGTTTCATCACTGGTAGCCTGTGGTAGGTGGATAGGTTGATTGTTACAGAGCTGGCGGTGGAAGAAGTGCCTGGAGGTTGAACGGGGAAACACGAGAAAGCCATTGTATAAATCGACTGCCATTGAGATTATCCTCCTCGTCCTCATCCTGTTCTTCTGTCCTTTTGTTTGGACTCTTGCAATGACTTGCTGATTTGACCGCCGAGGCTGACTGCGAGGCTGTACAGTAACAGCGGTAGGGTAGATTCATAATTTTGTTTGGCTGAGGGCTAACCGAGAGACCTACCTGTAAGGAATATTCGTGAGGGACATATCTGCAAATTTGGGAAAATACAGGCCCAGTACTAATTTGAATTTCCTACAGCTGACCCTAACTGCGTATAGCAGATCCGGGCTACCCCTAGGACGGACAGGCCTGAAAGTCCTATACCGATAGACGGTCCTATAGCCTATAGCCGGGTAGGGAGAGGCCGAGAGGCTGAAACTGGAACGGTACCGGTCGGTCCAATCAGTCGGGTCTAGGTCTAGGCTAGGGTAGTGTAGATCTATTAATAGATGAGGAAAATCGGTTCAGGACTTTTGGGGCTGTTCATTCTCGCGAAGCAGCGTTTGGAGGAGCCAAGCGAGTTGGCGGTGGCAATCGTCTACAGGCGGCATCCTGAGACCCTTGCCTAGGACGGCAGCCATAGCCGGCCTTCTGAAGGTTGTCGGAGCTGGGACATCCTCAGCGCATCTACCCTGGGGGTATCTGCGTCTGGCCAGGCTATGTTGAGGCTCTTCGCTGAGTGTTTGTGGGTGGCGGCAGCCATAACTGCCTGTTTCTTCGTCAGAGTTGTTCACCGGCACTGAGGACTACATCGCAGGATCTGTTCTTCATCTGGGTGGTTGGCGCTGGCCTCTGGGAGGCCATTTCGGTGTTGCGCTACTAACTGGGTGTAGGGTAGAGAGTGGAGTGTGGGGTTCTGAGTGTGGCGAGATACTGGAACAAACTCTGTAACGATATCGGGTTTTAATTGGCTCTTCATCAGTGTGAATTCCGATTGTTATCCTCGCAGGTGTCTTCATGTGATTGGTTGTTGGGAGTTTGTCAGATAGTGAGAAACACGATGTGTCTTCTCCCCATCTGTGCATGGTTGGAACTTTCGCTGCCTACTCTGATCTGTGTGCAGTGTGGACTCTGTCTCCTCTCCCCCTTCTCTTATGCATGTATGGGCGTGTATGAGACTGTCTGAGTGTGAGTGGCGGTAAAAACTGTCAGACAACCAAGTTCATAACACTCTGGTCTACCTGCCATCTCGTGGTCATACGCTGAGCATCACGAGTCACATGCACACTGGGTGTTGCTGTTGTGAGATTCTCGGTTTTGTGTTTGCGAGTGAATGAAGTAGCCACTTATTCTAACAATTATTTATATCATTTACATAAGTTGCTCTCATTTGGTAGATTACAACCTATAACGACCCTAGCCCAGTTTGTACACTCATGAACTGTTGAAATACAGACCCGAGTTCGAGTCCAGATGCAATCAGGACATACAAGTAGTTGATGGATATGTAGAGGTTTCGTTGTTTCGGTTCTGCATCCACAGTAACGTCTTCTAAACTGATTGGGGAAGTACAGGTCTTTCTCTTTTATGCCTAAGAAGTGCGAATGGAATGTGTGTTGGCAATGAGTCTGTGCATGCCCTTCGGGGCAACCTTCGCAACTGGAATGGTTCGTGATTACCGTTTGGTTTTGGATTGCGCGAATGGAGCGAGATGACTGACGAAATGTAAATAGAACATGGAGAAGAAAAAAAAAAGAAACAGAAGCGCTCTACATACATGCATGCAGAAAAAAAAAGAAATTGTATGGGTTTTTAACTTTGATCCTGTATGCGTGCGTGCATATGTATGCATCCGCACGTGGCTCCTTGTGTTGCATGATGGCAGGAGAGCAGACCACTTGACTTGAACTATGCATTTGTTCTTGATGTGAAGCAAATATTGAAGGTCGTCTTTTCGTAGGGAGGAAAAATTGGCCACAAAAGTTCCGAACAGTTTGGAGGCTTCTGAGCAGAAGGCTCTTTTTTTAGAGCGGCCTGATGGTCCTTGGGAGGGGTGCCTAGAAGAGACCACCCAAAGTTTCTTAGGAGGCTGCCTATTGCCCTTTTTGGCCACACGGGATTGTGACACTACAGGCCATCTATCGATGCTAGAACGCACAATAATTATATTGTATATACAGTATTATACACACATATATATACACCTGGAGAGGAAAGGTAGGTGACTGTTGAAGAAGTGGTGTGCTCAATCATGAAAGGTGGTGAATGCTATGGAGCGAGGGGTGGATCGATGGTCATTTGGTGGGTGGGTGGATGCTTCGCTCATTGATTGGTCGTGGGGTCGTGTATAAGTCATGGAGGTTCCTAATTTGGAATACTTTGGGTGGTAATTGATTGGACTAGCAGTGCGGTCATTGGTGGTCTTCTTATCGTGTAGATAATTTATGGTTCACTGGATAAGCGAAACCGAGTAGTAAGGTTGGAAGACGGCATTTTGTTGGCTTCACAGAAGCATCCACGTGACAAGCGGACTCTTTTTCTATTTCCCTCCCTAGCGGTAGTGAAGGGGCTGCAACAATGGCAGCTTCCCTAGGTGGGCGGCTTACTAGGGATTGGCACGCATCCATACACAGAGATGTGAATTCTTTGCCAAGCAGGGAATCAGGAAGTGTGCAACACAGAGATCACAGGGAGGTTATTGGTGTGAAGGATGTGCACCTGCCGTCACTGCCCATGGCCCCCATCTTGGGAGAAACAGGTACTAGTACTGTAACCCACAAAGAATCATCCTGGCTGTTGCTCAAGCAACTGATACAGCTCGCGAAGAATGTGTCAAAGACTGCGGAAACTGCAAGAAGTCACAAGAAGTTTTGTGTGACACTCACGAGGCGCATCAAAAATATTGTTCCTCTTCTCGAGGAGCTAAGGGATGTGCCGTCCCCGCTTCCACACAGTGCACAGTCAGCACTCAAGTCAATGGAGACCGTCTTCCGGAAGTCGAAGACGCTGGTGGAGGAGTGCCGAGATGGAAGCAGGTTGTATATGGTAAGTGCCCGATGTTTCCTTTTTGGTTTAGGCACATCGATTTTCAAGCATCATGTTTTTTTCACCATGTTTCCGTACCATTGATGTTGTGCTTTTTCAAGCATGTTGTGTTCTTTTGCCATGTTTCTGTCCTGAAGATAGCCAGCGCATACCATGTTTCCCACATCGGTTTCAAGCATGTCGTGTTTGTTTACCATGTTTCTGTCCTGAAGACAGCCAGCACTGGTTCTTGCAAAACTTCTTGGTAGATATTGTGCGCCGCTCCATTACACACCACTCTACATGCAGTTGGTTGCTTACTGGGCTGCCAGGGTATCTGGTCATGCAATCCAGAGCAACCTTCAACCCCCTTGTTAAACAGCAGAGAGTGTTGAGGAGAGGGCCCATACTGGTAATTTTCAGAGGATCTGAGTGGTGTGTTTTCGTATACACAACCCTGCTCGTATACACCAACTCCAGGCAGCCGTCTGCTTAGCTCAGATTGTACCCCCTTTTTCAACCATCCGCATTATCAACTACTGTGAGCCATTGCGACCCATACTCTTGCCGCAAGCTCAAGCTTCTGTGGCATGCTCAGACCATAGAGGGAGGGTGGATGAAAGGAGGGGGCAGGAATTGGGGGGGAGGGAAGGGAGGGAGGGGGGAAGGAGTTAGGGGCAGAGAGAGAGAGAGAGAGAGAGAGAGAGAGAGAGAGAGAGAGAGAGAGAG